CGGGTGTCGCTGCTCGAACGTTCTTGTGAGGATGAGCAATGGCTGGTGTTGTTTTCTGGTGAGGTAAGGGTGAAGAGGAGGAGGAGGAGCAGCGACGATGGGAATTGGGATCGATGGGGGGTCGTTTTGTGTTCTACAACCTAGGGTTTTTTTTTCCTCTGGTTGTTTGCTTCTGAAGAAGATGATGGCTCAAAGGGAGGGGGTCGTGTATTTTCTGAGAATTGCGGCGAATCTATTTTGTCTCTTAGGTCTAGGTGTATTTTTTGGCTCTCTTTTCAGCTTTTTTCCTTAGCGTTTTTTTTGTATTTCAGCTCTTTTTGTGTTTGTATCTTTTTTGCTTTTTTTTTTATCTCTTTAGAAAATGACGGATCTCACGGTCAACAAAAACAGTGCCTTCAGCTTTTTCCTTGATTCACTCGATGAAGAAGAACGATTTTATGCGTCATTTTCTTGGTCTTCTTTGATTTTGGAAGAAGACAAAACGGCAGATCTAATTTTTTTAGGGCTCTCTTTATTTTAGGTGTTAGATACTATTATATAGGGGTAGGGATTAGGTTAGGGGTATGGGCCTAGGAATTATGGGCTAGGTCCAAAATTAGGCTTAAAAATGGGTTGCTCGAACCCAAGTTTTATTCTTTCTCCGCGAACGAGCCTAAAAATATGATCTCATTTATTAATTAATCCTACTTAAGTAAAATAACCATTAAAATAAGACTGGCCGTTAAAATAAAACTATTTTTGGTATTTTTCAAGATTAAAATGATTACAAAACATTAATGAAACTATTTCTTTTTTGTAATTTTTATTTTCTTGTAATAAAATAAATAAAAGAGTAAAAATTAGTTGAAATAGCTATATTAGGCCTAAATTAAATATTTACGTGCTAAAATATAAAAAAAATTGGGGAGGGTCAAAAATCACATGTCTACAACTGCCCCTCTTTAACTGGAAACGCGAAGAGTTTTCGGACAAAGAAAGACTAGACAGGTTTTTTGACCCGACCCTTGTTTAAGGAGACCAAAACTAAGAAAAAAGGGAAATGTGACCAAGCCTTGGTATCTGAGCTGCCTACATATCCTTGGCTATAAAGGAATCAGGTCACATGTAGTTCAGAAGTGAGTGAGATGATGGAGTATGCCGAGGTGGAGAGCCGATTGAGGTGTCGTCAAGGTTCTAGTCCCCGGTCCTGTTATTACATCAAAATGAAAAATGAAAAAGACTGACTAAGCCTATCAGCTGCGAGTTATAAGATTCCTATCTATGAGTCTTCTGAATCTTGATCTTGAGTCTTGGTTGGTTCTTCATGCAGACCCTGATCTGAATCTTGATGCCTGTTAGCTGCAGGTGTTGGTTCAATCTTCTTCAGCTTTTCAAACCAAGACGGGACATACAGAGCTTGTGACCTCAGCCTTGTCTTGAGCAGCTCACATCTTTCATAAACATCTGCATTTGGATTCACTTCTTGTCTTTCTTTTTTTTCTTTTTATTCTAGATTGTGACTAACTTCTGTTGATCATCTTGGACTGCTGACCTGCATTCTTGACGCGAGCTTCTTTTGTTGCTGACCTGAATTGCATTTTGAATTGAATTCCCTTTTTTTTCAGGTGAGAGCCTGATTGCTGAACTTGAACCGTCTTCTCTTGTTACTTGACATTGTTTTCCCTTGCACCTTGAACCATTTTCCCTTGAAACTTGAACTGTCTTCCTTCGAAACTGCTTTCCCTTGAAACTTGAGTTGTCTTCCCTCGAAACTGCTTTCCCTTGAAACTTAAGTTGTCTTCCTTCGAAACTGCTTTCCCTTGAAACTTGAGTTGTCTTCCCTTGTTCTCCAGGTGGGCGCCTGATTACAACAAAACAAACAAAACAAAAGAAATTTTCCTGCCCCAGTTTGATATTGGGAACATCTGTGAGTGTTAACAAAACTATAAATCACCTGCGTTGCTGATGAAGGATGCAACGATGAGAGTAAAATTAATGACTCGACTAGGATGTGTGTCTCCTAAACGTGATTGAGCTTGCGAAAAACTATAAACTAAGCTTGACTAAAGTAAAAACTGACCCTATTCTCCAGGCGGGACCCCTGATTTCAAGAAAACTAAAAATTGACCCCTCTCTTTTTCAATTCAGACTTCCCTTTTTTTAAATTATAATCCTAGGAGAAAATTCATCGGACTAGGTTTTCTATCTTAGGAGAAAAATTCATCAGACTAAGATTTTGATCCTAGGAGAAAATTCATCAGACTAGGTCCCCCTTTTTGTTATCTTAGGAGAAAGATTCATGAGACTAAGATTTCTATCCTAGGAGAAAATTCATCAGACTAGGTCCCCCTTTTTGTTATCTTAGGAGAAATATTCATGAGACTAAGATTTCTATCCTAGGAGAAAATTCATCAGACTAGGTTTTCTATCTTAGGAGAAAGATTCATCGGACTAAGACTTCGATCCTAGGAGAAAATTTATCAGACTAGGTCTTTTTTTTTTAAAATTATTATCCCAGGAGAAAATTCATCGGACTAGGTTTTATCATAGGAGAAAATTCATCAGACTAAGACATTTATCCTAGGATAAAGATTCATTAGACTAGGTTTGCTTATCTTAGGAGAAAGTTCATCAGACTAAGATTTCTATCCTAGGAGAAAATTCATCAGACTAAGATTTCTTATCTTAGGAGAAATATTCATCAGACTAAGATTTCTACTGGGCGCAAAATCCATCAGACTAGGACTTTTTATCCTAGGAGGAAAAATGTGAAGATCAATGGCAAGATTTTACGCATTATAGCAAAACAAATAAAGTCAAAGTTTTGAGAAACTTCCCTTTCTCTTCTTCTCTTTTTATTCTTCATTTTTTTTAACCACTTTCCTTGCACTGCTTTGTTCCTGTTTCAACAAAGAAAAATTTGTCAGTTTTGAAAATGGTGGTCGATTTTTGGCCTTGAGTCTTGAGCAGCTTGGCTTTTGCTCGATCGGCCTCAGTCGGTCTCAAGAAACTTTTGTTCTGCACCAACTCTGATTGTTTCACCCAGTACCATTTGTATTTGCAGCTCAATCAGCTTATCACAACTAAAGATCTTTGCTTAGATGACCTTTTCCGATATCTTGAATGACTTCCTACTTTTGAGCAATTTGTATACCAAAGAGAATCACAAGTTATCTTTGCTTGCGCCAAGTAAGCTGACAAGAGTCTTGGAGGGGGGAGCTTTTGCATGAATCCTCAAGGCATGTTAACTGTAACAACTGAGTGTGCTGGCCAAATTTACTTTATGCAACTGAAAAGTTGATAGCAGACTTTGAAATCTTTTCTTACTTGTTTTGACAAGTACTGACTCAAAGTGAAGGACACGTTGATGCAAAGAAACAGTATTAACAAAAAATGCCCCTGTCGGGAAGGACAGGGGAAAAGTTTTTTTTGTTTTTTTCAATAACTAGTCTTAATGACCATGACATGCATTTTGGACTTAACGACTGATCTACCAAATTAATCCAATCTTCCTTTTTACCATTTTTATGACCTTTGAAGTCAGGCTTGTTCGTGTCAATTCTTCACATCAGCTACACGACTCACGACTAGTGGTGCCTCGAGGGATTTTCACCAACAAGTCTCTCTCATTTATTTATCACTTCTTACCATCGCCTTACAGAGCCCGTGAAGGTTTTCACTAGTAAGACTCTCTCATTTTCTTTTATTTTTCTTTTTCTTTTGCATCCTTGTGCGAGCAACTTGATCGTGTTCTATGTCGCGTGACAGCCGTTGCTCATTGCATGCTTCTCTTGGCATTCTTGAAGGCATATCAGGAGGTCTTTATTTGAAAGTTTTTGGATAGGGTTGGACAGAAGGGTGGCATAAAAGCTCAACGTAGACTCAAAATAAAGGGGGTGTAGACTTACAACTCTTGGAATCGACTCTTTCAAAAGTAAAATAAAATCTTTGCCCTAGTTTCAGATACAGGGAATTTTTTTTCCTCTTTTCTGAATTCTTATTTGGTTGGACCGAACCGTGAGGATGCCTACGTATCCTTTTTTAAAGGAATCAGGTCTAACGTAGTTCAAACATCTGACCTAACTAATTTTTTTCATTTTTCTTTCTGTTGTTTTTTGTTTTCTTTTCTTCTTTTTTTCTTTTTTTTCTTTTTTTTTCAAAACAAGTTGCCCCACCTTCTATTTTTTGAGGGCATAGACTTATGACAATTCTTTTCTTCTTCTTCTTCTTCTTCTTCTTCTTCTTCTTCTTCTTCTTCTTCTTCTTCTTCTTCTTCTTCTTCTTCTTCTTCTTCTTCTTTTTTCACTTGAACTTTCAAAGAGCTGCCCCAGTTTGTATTCTTGGGGCATGGACCTTTATTGTTATTATTTTTTTATTATTTTTTTTGACTTTTGACTCTAAACTTGATTCCAAAAGAGGGTGGTCAAATAAAATAACACAGGTTCAAAGGGGTGACAAAGGATATAAAGTATTTGGGTAGCAGAAAAAGGGCCTCCCAACCTCGAAAACGCCAAACACAGTATCTTTCACAATCACGACATTTATGGACCTGTTGCTTTCTGGGTCTTTTTCAGTGTAAAGCTGTATGAGCAATACTTTCCTTGCAGTGAATGCCCCTTGTCAATTCGGGTGACTTTTCTTGGATTTTGTCTTGATGAAGAAGATGCATTTTGCCACTAACTAATCTATTTTAAGTTGTCTGGAATAGACAATCTTTTGAAAAACACTTTCTATCTCTTAGTGCTAAATAAATTTCAACCCGTCCGATCATCCTTAAGCCTGATCTTCTCAAAATGATTCAAAAAGAATAGATCCTTAACTTCTATGAGCATGACTGCTTTGGTTCCATGTAAACTGGGCTCATGCTTTTTTCCAATTGTTTCATGTATCTATTCATCTTCAATAGTGTCTCTTTCTCACTTATCCAATTCAAGACTAAATAAGTTTTCTAAGATCTGGCCAAAAATTCCTGCTACATGTCATGTCACCAAAAACTAGCATGAACAAAACTATGCACAAAATGGACACAAAATGACTGACTGATTTTTATTGAATAAAGGATAGCAGGGTCCAATAACACAAAAGAAGAAGAAAAAAATGATAAAATAAGCTACCATGGCTAAAAGAGGAGTGACTTTTCAGTTACTAAGCAACATCTTAGCCACACATTCGCATATCAGCATTACTACGGCATTTAACCATTTTAATTGCTTTGGATTCAACACTCAAATTTTGACGATCATCCTGAGCAGCCCATGTCCTATTGCTCAAATCTGGTAAAGTCAACCCCACATTTGCCTCCATTTTAAATTTTTCACCGCCAACTTGCCTACTTGCCTTTTTGTGACCCTGGATCAACAACAATGGTGCGTATTCCCTTGGTTGAGAAGATACTTTTATTTCCGAGAGATCTTGGATTGTTCTTGTGACTCGCCATTGCAAACCAACAAACCGACCACCTTTGACTAGCTTTTATTTCAAAACAACAACCATGTTAGAATAAACACTCTTTCTTTCTTTTTCCTTTTTTCTCTTTTCTCTTTTTTTCTTGTTTCTTTCCTTTCTTTTTTTTTTGGTTTTTCTTTTTTTTTTTCTCTTTTTCATTTACCCTTTTTTTAAACCATTCGATCGAACCTGATGTGGGTTGCCTACGTATCATGTGGGAACATAAATCAGATCTTGCGTAGTTCGAGAAGATCAGGAATAAAGGAAATAAACTAACTCTTTTTTTTTCGAATAAAATACTTACAAAGAAGAAAGAAAATATTTTTGGATTTCGATTTGTTTGTTTTTTTTTAAAAAAAGAATTTTTGAAAAGAAAGACGTTTAAAGAAATATTTTTTTGAATTTTAATTTCTTTTTCTTTTTTCTTTTTTTTTCTTTGAAAATTTCGAAAGAAAAACTTCTAAAGAAGAAAGGAAATATTTTTGGACTTTTACTCTGAATTTATGAAAGAAATACTACAAAAGAAAAGAGAAAATATTTTTTGAATCTTGAATTTTCTTTTGAATTTTTAAACAAATATTTTTGGATTTTGAGAGAGATTAAAAGGAAATATTTTTGTATTATTTTTTTTAAAAAAATTGAGGTCTAAAAGAAAGACTTTCTAAAGAAGCGAGTAATGGAAAATATATTTGGATTTTTTTTGAATATGGTGGGCCGGAACCGAAGAGGTTTGCCTATGTATCTCACATCCGGTGAGAATCAGACCCGCGTAGTTCGTCCGTTTTGACGGAACAAAAGAAAATATGACTTATTTTGAAATGACTTTTCTTTTCTTTTTTTTTTCAAAATTTCAACAGAATTTCAGGGTAATTCAAATACCTACCTCTCACTCTTTTTCTTTCATCTTTTTTTTTGATTTCATTTTTTTTCATTTTCTTTCCCTATTCTAGAAGCCAGTCAATATGCAAGCCGAAATAGACAGATACACAAGTAGCACGTAAGATGTATTAGGATGGTCTTTTAATTTGGGTGCACCTGTCCTAGACAGACCCAACCCCTGTGTTGAGTCCCCAAAATTAAATGCACATGATACAAACAAACGTTCATACTAGGGATCCGGCATGAGACTGAGTTATTCTAAGCTAAAAACTTAGGTATATTGTTCTAGACTTGTGTACCCGAGCGGAGAACTCGATCCGAGAAGGGGGCTACGTACCGGGAACCAAAAGGCCATCCGGCTTTGTAACTTGTCCGAGACTCTTTCTTATTCCAGGTATGACACTAACAGAATAGGGAGTCACGCTAGTGTGCATATCCCCGAAGATGAGAAGATAAGGGTTTTGTAACAGTTTATAAACAGTTCAGAAAATATCAAAGCGGTAAAAAGCAGCACTTAGCACATTAGGCCCAAACATGTGAATAAAATCAAATAATAAATAAAGCCAAATATAACAATTATTCTAAACTCGAATTCTTGAACCCTAAACCAGAGATTCTGGGTTCTGATCCTCAACAGAGTCGCCAGAGCTGTCACACCTCCTTTTTACCACCCAAGGGAAGATATAAGGGAGTTTTTCCAATTTAAGTGACAATCGAAACGAGACTATTTATTTAAAAATTCAGAGTTTCCACTTGGAATAATTTATGGTGTCCAAGTCACCGGTTTAAAATCCTGAATCGAGGAAGTTCACCCTTATTTATGGTCTACGAACACATAAATCCGGGTAAGAAATTTTGTTAACCCGGAAGAAGGTGTTAGGCATTCCCGGATTCCATGGTTCTAGCACGATTGCTCAATTGTTATAACTGGCCTATTATCTGATTTTAGTACATGTTTTAGCCTATGATGCAATCTTAACTCATTAGCTGCTTTTAATCATCTTTAAGGAAGATTGCAATGTCATTTAAAATATGTCTTGAACCACGTCAGATAAATGCACCCGCGGTACTCGACATACTTTATCTAACATTATTTAGATTTTGATTTGGGTCACATAAATGTGCACCCAAGTTTAGGAAGGTAATTTTTAAAATAGTGCACCTAAAGCAACTACAAACATCATTTTTAATATCGTAATCGTGAATTATAGATATGGAGTTGTAACTAGCTCTTTAAATATTAGCAAACTATTATGATGGCTCAAACCAAAATGAATCAAACAGCTCTACATATGGGCAGTACCAAAACTTGCCACAAAATGACAAAAATCAAAGCAATAGGATGAAAGCAACACAAATCTTTCCAATCAAATGGCGTGACCAATATCACACAAAACACCGAACCAACAAAACAATATTCAACCATTGAGCAAAGTTAACGCTCACTGGCCCCGAAATTGGTTTCACAAAAATTCAATAAAAACAATATTCAACAAAAGAATATTTAACTATATTAGCTTCTTAAGACGCAGAGCACTATAACACTCAAATGACCCATAGCTCAAGATCATTATCATCTAATGTTTTGGATGCCAATTTAGCTATGTAAGAATGAAATAAAAGAGACCAATTGAAATAGAGAATTCACAGTAAACAAATTATTAAGATAATCTTGAATCGATCTAACGACATAGCCAATAAACCACTTTGTTTTCACATTTTAATGGAAGAAAGGGCGGAAAACTGAAGAAGCCATAATAAGGCTTTTCAATTACTCGCAAAGGAAGATTAACGAACCTGAAATCGAACAGAAAATGTAGCAGCGCCGGAACCTCGTCGGAATCTCAAACGGAACTGAACAACGACTTCAAATCGCTTCCAACATCTCGGCTCCAAACAACTTTCCAAACGAGCTTCAAAATGGAATCTATGAATTTGAAACTAAAAAAATCGAGATCGAACCAAAGAGAAGAAGCAGAAACTTCACTATTTTTTGGATTAAAATTTGGTTGTTGTAACGGTGTTGTGTCTAGGCATGAGACGACGACGAGATGTTGTAGGCTGAAGGAGAGGATGAATAAGGGTCAGCTGGTTCATGTCCGTTTGGTCGCTGCTTGTTCGAGTAGCTGATGGAGTGAGCTCAGGGAAATGACTGGTTTTGTGAGGATGAGGGGACGGGTGTTGCTGCTCGAACGGTCTTGTGAGAATGAGCAGCGGCTGGTGTTGTTTTCCGGCGAGGTGAGGGTGAAGAGAAGGAGGAGCAGCGATGATGGGAATGGGGATCGATAGGGGGTCGTTTTGTGTTCTACAGCCTAGGTTTTTTTTTTGTTTTTGTTTTTGCTCTGGTTGTTTGCTTCTGAAGAAGATGATGGCTCAAAGGGAGGGGGGTCGTGTATTTTCTGAGAATTACACCGAATATGTTTTGTCTCTTAGGTCTAGATGTATTTTTTGGCTCTCTTTTTAGCTTTTTTCCTTAGCGTTTTTTTTGTATTTCAGCTTTTTTTTGTGTTTGTATCTTTTTTTTTTGTTTTTTTTTATCTCTTTAGAAAATGGCGGATCTCAAGGTCAACAAAAACGGCACCTTCAGTTTTTTCCTTGATTCACTCGATGAAGAAGAACGATTTTAGGCGTCATTTTCTTGGTCTTCTTTGATTTCGGAAGAAGACAAAACGACGGATCTAATTTTTTTAGGGTCTCTCTTTATTTTAGGTGTTAGATACTATTATATAGGGGTAGGGATTAGGTTAGGGGTATGAGCCTACGAATTATGGGCTTGGAAATTATGGGCTAGGTCCAAAATTAGGCCTATAAATAGGTTGCTCGAGCCCAAGTTTTATTCTTTCTCCGCGAACGAGCCTAAAAATACGATCTTATTTATTAATTAATCCTACTTAAGTAAAATAACCATTAAAATAAGACTGACCGTTAAAACAAAACTATTTTTGGTATTTTTCAAGATTAAAATGATTACAAAACATTAATGATTTTTTTTTGTAATTTTCATTTTCTTGTAATAAAATAAAGTAAAAGAGTAAAAATTAGTTGAAATAGCTATATTAGGCCTTAATTAAATATTTACGTGCTAAAATATGAAAAGTTTTCGAGAGGGTCAAAAATCACAGGTCTACAACAGCCCCTCGAGCATACCTCACAATCACTCGTAAACAGCCCCTCGGGCTCAACATGAATCAAGAATAGTCCCTCGGGCAAAACATCATATTACTCACTCAGGGTACCCGCGCTCACTAGAGGTGTGCAGACTCCGAAGGGGCTTCTACAGCCCAAACGCTATAACAAGCCACATCGTAGCATAAATCAATCAGGTCCCCAGCCTCACTCAATCATGAATCAATAAACATGTTGCGGCGTGCAGCCCGATCCCATAACTATCCTTACAAATCAGCCCTCAGCCTTACTCAGTCAGAAATTAGTAAAACATGTTGCAGCGTGTAGCCCGATCCCATAAATATCCTCACCAATCAGGCCCTCGGCCTCACTCAGTCATAAATAAGTAAAACATGCTGCGGCATGCAGCCCAATCCCATAAATATCCTCACAAATCAGGCCCTCAGCCTCACTCAGTCATAAACCTCTCAAGCCACTCGGATTCTCAGTAAAAATAGGGTACTCAACACAAAACAATTTTTATATGCATCAAAACAGAGTAATAAAGACTGAGTTATGAAAATAATAAGTATAACATGACTGAGTATAGATTTTCAATCGAAAACAGTGAGAGGATAGTAACAAAAAGACCCTTAAGGGTCCAACCAGCTCTGGTGCAAGGCCCAAGTACGACGTTCAGCCTAGTTTATAGAAATTCTTTCTAAAACACATAAGTATCATATAGTTTCAACGAAATACGCAACTTATAGTTGCTACGGGACGGACCAAGTCACAATCTCCAACGGCGCACGTCCACACGCCCCCAACCTAGCATGCGCGTCACCTCAAAACAGTAAAACGATACGAAATTCGGGGTTTCATATCCTCATGACTAGATTTACAATCGTTACTTACCACAAACAAGCTAATTCTAATACCGAGCAAATCAAGCGATGCTCCAAAAATGCCATCTCGCGTGTTTCGACCTCCGAATGGCTCGAAAGTAACCAAAAACAACTCAATTACATCAAATAATGCTAAAGGAATCAATCCCAATCGAAAAAGGTCGAATCTTTAATTAAAAGCCCATAATCGGCAAAAAAAAACACAATCCGGGTCCGCATCTAGAAACCTGACAAAACTCAAAAAATCCAACAACCCATTTAATTATGAGTCCAACCATACTAGTTTCATCCAATTCCGACTCCGAATCGATGTTCAAAACTTAAAAATTCACTTCATGAAACTTTAGGCAAAAACCCTCAAAATTCACTTTGAAATCATCAATCAAATCCCAAAAACAAAGATGGATTCATGAAATATAACTAAAACCGAGTAGAAAACACTTATCCCAATCCATATGGTGAAAATCGCCCAAATCCGAGCTCCCTAACTCAAAATATGACCAAATGAACAAACCCTTATTTTATATATTTTCTGACAGTTATTCTGCCTCGATTCTCATGCCAAACGATCCCGAAACTCGCTTTTGATGCCTCCAATAGGATCCTTGTGAAATTTTAGTCATGTTAGGTTCTTGACTCCATTTTACCTTATATTGAAGTAGGTATATTGGTTTCAATATTTAAAAATAGTGCAGATTTTTAAATACGAATTCAGTGGCAATTTCGTGATTAATCTGAAAAATCTAGCAACCCAATTATTAGTAAAATGACCACAAAATTCTCATACGATGTCCAAATTCGACGATTCTTTTTGCTATGGCTCCATAATTACGATACGGATCTAATGCTTCAATAAAAAAAGAAATCAGAGCTCATTTGCTTAATGTAGTACCGTTTATGCTTGAAAAACGACGTTGAAACATTAAAAAAACGAGCACAATACAACCCAAACCTATCCGAAACTCACCCGAGCCCCTCGAGATCCTATTCGAACATACCAACAAGTCCCATATCATAACACATACCTACTCGATGCCTCAAAACACGCATAACAACATCGACACGATGAATCACACCTCAATTCAAAATCAATGAACTTGAAATTTCAAACTTCCACAACCGATGGTGATGTGAGCACGTGATTTTTGCCCAATATGAATTGCTCCTATAAAATCAAAAAAAAAAGTTTTTTTCCAATTATTTGTCATTTTATAAGATTTTGTAGGATTTTTTATTAATTGTTTGCATTTTTGTGCACGTTTAATTTTTATTTTAATCATGAAAAAATACAAAAATATCATGCATTGCATTTAGGATTTGTTTTTATATTTTTAAAATTAATCATTAATTATTTGTTTTATAGAAATTCGAAAATCACAAAAAATAGCTCATTTTTACATTTTTTATCTTTTAATTTTTAGCTTATTGATTTTTCTCTTTTAATTTAGAATTAAGTATTGTTTATATTTTATAATTAACTAATTAATTTAATTTCACACTTTTGGATAATTTAGGATTTTTAATTTGTAGAATTTTAATTAAAAGAAAAAACAAAATTAGAAAATAAAAGAAAGAATTAAAAAAAAAGATTTGTCTTGTGAAATTGAGCCAATTCTCACCCAGCCCAAATCTGATCCAATACTTCCCTTGACCCTAGCCTAAACCCGCTTGACCCGAACCCACATAACCTAGACCAAGCTATATAGAATGGACCTTCCCTTTTCTGAAAAAACAGAGAGCAGCGGCGCATCTGGGAGGATTTTCCTCTCCATCTTTCACTCACAACACCAAAAACACAAGGAATCAGAAATCCCATGGCTGAACCCTAGGACGCCGTTTCTGGACTTTCTTCCTCATCTTCATTCCCTCAACACACAGATTTCACACACTCGCACTCTTAACACACACGAAATAGATGTAAAGACAGATCCGGAATTCGAAAATTAAGAAAAAAGATCTGAAAACATAAAGAAGAATAGTGGATTTCAATCGATTTTACATTGGAAATTCAAAAGGGCTGGAGCTGTTTTCCTTTGGTGATTTGAGAGAGCTCTCCATTTGTTTCTGGGTTTGCATGTATTGAATGAATCCGCGATTTGCCTGCTGCTGTGGCGCTTGTTGAGTAGCTAAGCTCCATTCCTCATCTTAGATTTTTAATTGGCCATCTACGGCTGTTCTGGATTTGTTTAGCTGAGAATCAACAAAGTTTTGGAACAATATCGATATTCAGAACAAGATTCAGTTGACTAGGAACAAGGTGCAGTTTTTATTTTTATTTTGTTAAAGTCTCCCTTTTGTTTTCCTGTTATTATTCATCTATTCTGCTAGAATCTTGTGTTATCTAATGTTTCATTTATCTTTCTCTGTTTCTCTGTGTATAATTCTTAATTGTTCGGTTTTGAGAATTTTGTGCTACTAATTGTTACAGTACTATTGATAATAGCAAAATGACACTTACTCCCATTGATATTCTCTAAATAAATAAGAACGTGCATAGGTTATGCCTTTCCGCACTTTCACAGGTTCTTCTTTTCTTCACAATTTCAGTCTTTATTTTTTGTTTGAAATCCTACTTCTTACGCTTATTTTTAGCCATTTAATTTCATTCGTGGATAAGTTTTATGTGTTATGCTTGATAATGCTTTTTTTTTTTTCTGGAACTTTTGTGTTCTCGATTCCACGTTTGTATGTAAACCTCCATGCGGTCGAATTTCGGAAAAGAAAATAGCGTTGAAAGATTTGGTGAGTTGAGTTAATCTTCTTTTGTCCTGAATTTTGGGCAAATGACCTCTCTCATAGTCTGATTGCGTCCAATTGGTTGAATAAATTGCAGTAGAATGGTTGATTACTTATGCAATTGCTAAGTTTTGTGCCTGATAAAAATCAGATGGAATTTTGAGTTGGAGTCATTTTCTTGGTAGTTGTTCCAATAATGTCATACAAGGATTCGTTTGTGCTATTTTTAAAACACATCTGTAAGGTATGCAAATGCTGAAGTTAGGCAATCATTCTCATTTTGAGGAGGTTCTGTGTTCTTGTAAATCAATACATCCATAACTGAAATCTCCCCATGTAATTTCAAACCTTAGAAAGTTAAATAATCCATGAACATCCTAGCTTGCTTTAGGCGCGATTAATTAACTATCGTGACTATGGGTACGGTTCCCGTGGTATAGTCATGGTACGTAATTCCCAAATTCGGGGTGCATTTCTTGTAACCTGATTATAACAACTTCGAATAATAAACCTTTTAAAATAAATTGAGGCGTGCCATACCAAACAAAACCCCTAAGCCAATGGCCCTCACAAGACTAGTTAGCTTTTATAGAAAATTTGAGGTGTCATTTTCATTAAATAAGCCATGGCCCTCATGTAAATAATTCTAACCCTTTAAAATCGAAGCGTGCCATCAACTGAATTTTCCATGGCCCTCGTAAACGTTGTTATTAATTTGAACCTTCCTATTTGCTTTAGGCGCGTTCTTTAAATTGATTTTCTTTAATTTCTAAATTCGTGTGAAGATTTCATGTGACCCAATTTCAATTCTTAACAACGTTAAATAGAACGTGTCACGAACAACGGGTGCATTTCATGTGGCGT